TTTAAAGATTAACGTTTCGTCAGTATGTATTTAATTTCTTTCTTTCCTATTTCCCTGCCAATTAAAATTTTCCAAAAACATGTAAATTGATAACAAACTGTCACTCTTTTGGGTCTCCAGTGTTTCACCTACTCAGTTGATAGCAGACACACACACACACACACACACACACACACACACACACACACACACACACACGAAAGTATATGTACATACACATAACACATAGACCCTTCATATATAAATATTCACAACAGTACACTCCATGGCGACTATGTATAATTTAATTGCTCACCAAAAAATTACGACTGTAGAATATAACAGTTTATTCATGTTTAAAATAACAAATCAGAAAAAATTATTATCATGTGTACATGTGGCAGGCTTTCAGTGTCAACACACGCCAGTGAAAGATGGTAAAATGCATTCAACACATTGGGGAAAGGGGTGGGGAGCGGATGGGATACATTCAAGTCATGTGACGAAATAATAGAAATGACCCGACAACCAATGGTAATCAACAGATTTAAGACATCCGGTGACATATTGGGCACATCCTGAGAAGAAGCGTGTACAAAACAGGTCCCGAAATGGGAAAACAAATGGATTAGGAAAAGGAGGACGTTTAGGAGAATCTCTAAAAGACACGTTAATGATATTCCAAAGAGCTTTGACCGGACACCATCTATGACACTGCACAAGATGAAACGGAATAGAAGAATGGACTGCGAGCCCTATGTGCCAAATAAACGGCACGAGTTGGTGATGGTGGTGGGGGTTCCGGGCAGGGGGTGGCGATGATGATGATGAAATTGTAGACTATGTCTTCCTACGCTGGGAAAGTAGTGTCTCGTCTGAACATGAATTAGATAGCGAGTGAAATGTTGCCTCTGTCTCCTCCAACAGCGTCTGCAGTTCTCTGATGTATTCGATGGCACGGCGAAGTGTTTCCACCTGGTCGAAACAACAGAAGCATATTTCGTTAGTTTAAAAAATAAATTAATATGTAGTTACATCTAGTTTCTCACAATTGTCACAGGACGACATAAACATAAACAGTGACAAGCATGAAGACAGACAGTAAGATTCGTAGGTAGACATACAGGAGGACATAAACATAAACAGTGACAAGCATGAAGACAGACAGGAAGATTCGTAGGTAGACATACAGGAGGACATAAACATAAACAGTGACAAGCATGAAGACATACTGGAAGATTCATAGGTAGACATACAGGAGGACATAAACATAAACAGTGACAAGCATGAAGACAGACAGGAAGATTCGTAGGTAGACATACAGGAGGACATAAACATAAACAGTGACAAGCATGAAGACAGACAGAAAGATTCGTAGGTAGACATACAATCAGAAACATATTCGGTGGAACCTGGCGGCTTAGATCCATTTAACCTACCCCACCCCACTCATTCTAGGCTTTAAAAAAAATGGGGAGGGGGGGGGGCGCTCTCAGATAGGAGTGTTAAAGCTTGGTGGTAACGCGTATTTAATATCAGGAAATGTCCTGGCTAGAAATAACAAAGCATGTTTAGGGTCAGAAAAACAGGCTGAGGTGATAGCGAAAAATGTATGTTGCTCACATAGGTGACGTAACATTAGGGCTCATGTACCTCGAACACCCCTCCCCCTATTTTTTGCTGGTGGAGGGTGCTCGAGAAGACTAAGAGTCACCCCCCCCGCCCTCACAAAATGTTTTGCCTTCACAATTTGTATTTGAAAGGGGGGGGGGGGGTCACCCTAAGCCCCCTCCCCCCTCCTACCGATAGGGTCTGAGCTCCCACCTAGTTCCTTTCAGGATGATAAGGAGGACTTGGTTTGGGGTGACTAAAACCCTTCCTCCCTTCCCAATCATTACTTAATTAAATTGTTTGGCGGAGGGTTGCTGACCCCCCCCCCCCCCCCCCCCGCGCAATTTTTTTTATCTACAAAATGCTGCCGCTTGATGTATAGAGCCAGTTCTAATCAATGGCTGCGATTTTTGTAAAAATAAATAGGCCAACAAATTGCAGGAGGCATTGGAGATGTGGTTTTTCAGAAGAATCCGTACAACTCATTGACAGCTAAGAAGAGCAGACCAGATTTTTTTAAAGAGGCGAGTGCTCGAAGACAACTTATCACAAGCATCAGAAGGAGAAAGTCGTATTTGGGGGAGGGGGGTCATGCTGTGAGAAGCTGGAAACAGGAACATGTTGCGACCACTGGAAACATCTTTGGAGAAAGAGGGAGACGACGAGACACGATTCTTGACAGCCTTTAGTCATGGCGTAAAAAAGGATGTCGGCACACCAACTAAAAAAATGCCTCTGAAAAATCGCAGATTGACGAGAGGTAGGAACTCTCATGTCAGTCAGCAAGGCACTTGATGATGGCGACGATTTTTATTTTATTTTATTCAGCACATTATTATTATTATTATTATTATTATTATTATTATTATTATTATTATTATTATTATTAATATTATGCATCTAAACAAAGCACAGGTCCTTGAAATCCTCCATCATAAAGAACATAAGGCAGAACATAAGGCGGCTGACCTCTGGCACCCCTGCCGAGATATACCTTGTAAAGAGTTGCGTAGAGACTTTACAGAAACAGCCCAGTTAAGAAATGCTCCTTAAGCGCAAATACCATTCGTCTCAGTGGCGTAGCAGCTAGAGGTGCGTCTGCCGACCTGAAATTCTGCAGTTGGAATCTACATAAGTCGGATTGTTTTCTTGGTCGAGCAAATCTAAAATGGGCATAAGGTAATGTCATGGGAAGCAAAGGCGGCTAGCGGGATTTTGGACGCATCACTTATCCAGTGCATATTAGCCTACAAAATATGACTGTCATCATATGTCCGATACACCGTTGGCGTGAAAAAGTTTTTTTTAAATTTTTTTAAATTTCACTCATCATATTAGGAACTACTCCCGAAAGTCATCCCATCTCGTTCGGCTGCGAAATTTCGTGGCGGTTTCCATGGGCTGTTCTATGTTCCAGGGGTGTTATAAGATGCCTTCCTAAACCGCCAATACGCACCGTGCCGAAAACTGGTTCACGTTTGTTCTATGCGGTAGACACACAGTTTCCCTGACAAAGGTAGGCAGCTTTATTTTTTGCAACTCTCTTTTCTGTAACAGACTGTTGAGTGTGGAATGTGTTGTTGTGACAGCTCATGCTCCCAGGTGCCTGTGTGCAAGGAAGAAGTACTGCAGTGGAAGCATCGAAGGTGAAGGCGCGAGTATTGGGAGGGGGCGTGGGGGGGGGATGTATTTTTACGCTCGCTGGTGGTGGCTATCGTCAGTGGTGTAAGTGCTTAAAACTTTAAAAATAAACACTCCTAGAACATAGGACAATCCGTGGAAACCGCCATGAAATCTCGCCGCCAAACTAGATGGGGTAACTTTCGTGAATAGTACCTCAAATTTTAATTACATGTCATCTGTCTCTATTTTAGCCTATGAATTGAAATGCCATAGAAACATTCTTAGAATACCGTGGACCAAGAAGAAGAAAAACATCGACATCTGCATAACGAGAATATCAAGGAAAAGTTGCTCATAAACAACATCCTTTCCTGAAGATTGAGGTATTTTGGACAATTCAAAGGCCATGGTGCTTTAAGAGATAACTGTCATGGAGTGTGCAGTTTCTGGCGAGCGAGACAGTTCCAACTCTGTGAATGTATATATAGGACACTGAAGATGCATGAAAGCACACAGGGCTGGAGAAATGGCTAAAGAAAGAGAGGCTTTCAGACATGCCTTGAAAAAAAGCCACGTTCCGTAACAGACACTCTAACTTACTGATTGAATTTAAAAATTGAAAAAATAAAAAAAAATAAAAAATAAAAAACATTGGAAAAGGACGTAATTACTATAAATCATATTATTCTCTCACCTTACTGATTCTCCTGTCTTTGTTTACGATTGGCAGATGTTCCTTCAGTCTATCATAACCTTCGTTGACGCACCTGACCCTTTCCCTCTCTCTCTCATTTCTGCGGCGAATGAAGTTGGTCTCTATCAAGTGTCCGGGTAGTGGAACCATGCACAGTGGGGAATAGGGATCTAGCTTCTTGTTGTGTTCTTGTGATCCCAGTCTGTCGGAGTAAAGACAAAACAGATTTCATAGCTCTAATGGTCATTGCATAATTGTTTCTTTTCTTCATATATAGGAAATTACTTTTGGTGTTTCTAATCCACTATAATGGGATTTAAGAGCGAAATAGTTTTCATCTGCGGTGTCAATGCATTACGTGACAAGACAAGAACACACATACTAACGTAATGGAATGAGCGGGTATCACACGCATTTCCACCCTTCAATGCATAGTCTCAAACACTAATATGGCAACGATACACCACGAGGACCGAGGATTTTAGAGTACCAAAGACAGAGAGTCACAAACCAAGAAACTGTAGACCAAGAGAAGATGGAAATGGCTTGGCCACGTTATGAGAATAAATCCGAATATACCCGCCAAAACAGCTCTCACATGGACACCAGAGGGAAAGAGAAAACAGGGGCGCCCTAAAACAACATGGAGACGAACGATGTAAAGTAACCTGAGTGCGGCATCTTTGACACGGAAAACTGCACTGAAGATTGCACAGGACAGGAAAGCATTGAAACTCCTTATCTGAAGCCACATGTGCCACTAGGCATAACAAGAAATGATGATGATGAAAGACAGAGGGGGAATCAGAAAGGGAATAGTGATGAAGAAGGACACAATTGCGGATAGGTTAAGGTTAAATGTTGAATGTTTAATTAAATATCACAGCACTCGGGACACTCCCATAAGTGCTCAGTCACCATCTTCAAACGCAAGCGAACACTTCCATTTCCGATAGTACCAGTAACAGTCTGATTGTATATCCGTCTCATCCTTCGCCTGAGTGTTGAGCGTCGGCCAGATCCCCTGGTAACTCCTCGCAGCGCCAATTTTCATTAGACATTATTGATCTATCTGCGCCACCGCACTGTTCACTCGCTCCCAAAGGGCCTTCACAACATCTAACTTGCCATACATCAATTTACCACCAAGTGGTGCAGAGAAGGCCAGTCTATCTGCCTGCTCATTTCCCAACACACCGGCATCACCTGGAGAAAATATCCAAATGATGCTAACTACCCGGGACCTCTGAAGTGATTGATGCTTGCCACTTTGCAGGAAGTCTGCCTGTCTTCACCTGCCCGACAGAATTACTTTCCTTTTAAAAACGAACTGTCCGCGATTCAGTCACTGGTTCCACATGGATGCAAGAATATAACCGCGAGTGCGCGCCTGTGCTCTCTCTCTCTCTCTCTCTCTCTCTCTCTCTCTCTCTCTCTCTCTCTCTCTCTCTCTCTCTCTCACACACACACACAAGAAAGGTACTACTGGTTACACATTTCTTACCTAGTATCACCAATATGAAGACTGGGACTTTCAATAATTTCACCGTTTCTGAGACAGTTTTGCCCGAGTTCCAGCAGATCTGCTTCCTCCTCAGCAAAGTGGAATGAACTGCGGATGTTGCAGCTGGAGTTACTATAAATGCTGATGTTGTTGTTATTCTTAAAACTGTTTTCCTGGCCTTGAAAATGGGTTCCAAAGTCGCTACAGGCCGACACATAGCTACCTGAGTAAGGTACTTCCTTGAATTGGTCTCCATAATAAGAATTCACAAATCGATTAACATGTACCGGAACTGGCATCTCCATACCTGTCAATCAAGGGAGATAATTTCTGTTAGCTTGGGGAAACTATTGTCATCGATCTTATATGAAGATAAGTATGTACACGCATGCGCGGGCGCCCACACATACATGCACATACTTCCATTAAAATAGACGTTTAAAGGTGTATGCCTGTATGGGTTAAAAGGATACATTTTTTGTGTGGGAAAATAATAGACATAGTGGCTTAACAAATATTTCGTAAAAGGCGATTAATAAAAGATTTACTGAAATATGTCTCAGAATATCTTGGACAAAGAGGAGGAGAAATATTGACATCTTAAAAAATGTTAACATCAAGGAAGATTGGCTAATAAACAGCATCTGTCTCGGAAGCTGAAATTATAGCAGAAGGCATGGTACCAGGAAGAAGGGACAGGGGCCGACCGACACGAAGATGGGCACATTATATAAGTGACTCCTTGAGTATGAAAGTACATGAAGCGGGAGAACTGGCGAGAGACCGAGTTTATTTTAGGCAGAATGTGATGAGAGCGACGTTCTGCAAAGGACCTGCTACATGATGATGATGACAGAAATTTAATGTGAAAGGTGGAAAGGCGAAGATATAACAGCCAGTCAGTAAACCTCAGTGCATCCATTAAAGTCATCCCCCTTGTGGGATGCAATTTTTCGTTTTTTGAAGTCCCACCTTGGCTTTTGCAGGGAGCCCTGAAAATAGCTTAGCCACAATTGTGACCATAACGGCTGAAAGGGGTTTCTGGGACCTCTCCACGGTGATCCTCATCCGCATGGTGGTACTTTATGTTACCGGGTGTTTATCGCTAGTGTGATGTCCTGATGGGGTACAGCAAGCAATCAAGCAAGCTGAAAACCTCGACACATAAAAGGAATCTCCATTTTAGGGGTAGGATGTGATTTGATTTGATTCAAGAACCGACATCACAGCACTCGGGACATTCCCATAAGCGCTCCGTCCCCATCTTCAGCAGCCAGCGAAGAGTTCCGATACTAATGGTGCCAGTAGCTTTCTGATTAAACGTCCGTCTTGCCTTTCCTTTGAGCCTTGAGCTTCTGCCAGAACCTCTCGTCACCCCCCAACTGCATCAATCTCACCAGACTGTGGTGATCCATCTGCTCCTCCGCATTGTACACGCTCTCCCACAAGGCACTAACCATGTCTGCCCTATCATGTAGCAGTATTCCACCAAGTTGTGCAGAGCCAGCCAGTCTGTCCGCCTGTTCATTTCCCAACACACCAGAGTGACCAGGTGAAAAAATCCAGACAATACTCCTCACCCGTGTCCTCCGCAGCGAAGCATGCCACTCTGCACGAAGCATACCTGTTCTGATCTTCCTCGGCATGCTTTCTGAATCAGTTACAATTACAATGTGTGTGTGTGTGTGTCGTGTTCTCTAGCCAGCGGAAAGCTGCAGTGACCGCCTCCACCTCCACTCTCAAGCTGGATGTTGTGGTATCATATGCTAGGCTCACCTGCACCAAACGTCGACCATTAACTTTTGCTAAAAAGCCCCAAGCACTTCTTTTGCCTCCTGACACTGAACCGTCTGTGTAAATTATCAAATCCTCTGAGCGAGCATCATCTTGAATTAATTGCTGAATTTCCACCTCTGTGGCACCTGCTGGCCAGTCTCTGCATTATGACTCTACTCAAGTCAGACTGCTCAGGTGGCACTTTGACCCACTCCTCTCCTCGCCTAATGTTCTCAAGGATGCAAACCTGTCTGATTGTGTCTTCTGCCTGAGCCACCCATGACCTCCCTCTTATCAGCCGCTGACCCTTAACTGCACCCAGAGCTTCATGCAGAGGGTGGTCTGTGTCTGCAGCTACCCTGAGATATGACTTCGCCTGCATCACCTTGTGCCTACCTGCAACCGTCGGCAAAAGAGGATTTATCGCATACACGCCACTGGGGTATCTCTGTGTCGTGGACTGATAAGCCATTACACATCAGTCCTAAAGACTGGTAACTTAACTTACCTGTAAATCGGCACAACATTCAAACTTGGACTCGTCCAGAAAGATATATATCCCTTATATCGATATATGCCTTTATCGGACAAAATTATAATGTCTACATCTTCTAGTTGCTTTGACTTAACTCCACTTTTAAATGTACATCTATTGGATAAATATTAGAGGAGTTATTTGAGGTTTCATAGAAACCGATTTACTCCTTTCCCCTGTATACTAGGAACTACTTCTTACCAACGCCTGAAGAAGGCATTTTGCGCCATTCTTTTTGCCGGCTTCCAAGCGTTCAGACGTGTCAATCGACGCCTGTATAATTCATTTGTAAAAGGCGATCTGTAATGTCTAGGATTTTTCATATGCTTGGGTAAGTTAATTATAGTTTACGAGTACCTAAAACAATGTCTGTTAAAGTGGTAACTGCTGTAGAGAGATCAGTATCGGCTGTGGGATCACACATAGTTCGACCGTTCTTGATCGCTAGAGAAGCGGATTCGAATTAGACCTTCCTCTGTACAGACTAAATAGCCTATGCCCTAAATAACCCACTCATACTGGTAAAACTAATAACCTTACAAGTGTGTACTATTTAAACTAACAACAGAAGTTTGTGCATACAAATGGGGACATAATTAGGTCAGGACTTGGTCAGCCAGTGTGTGAGTGTGGTTGACCCAGATCAATGAATGGTGGGACTGGCTTGGGAGTCGTAGGGAATAAAGGTACTGACAGTAAATATTGGTGTCTGTGTGCAGAGGGGAGGGGGGGGGGAGAGAGATTGATATATGTGTTAGAGTGTATATCTATCTCCACTATATATCTGACTTTCCATCTCTTGCACTAAACAGACAGATGAATGATAGGAGACTTGTGTCTCCTGGTCTTGAGAGGCATTCTGATAAATGAAACAGGGGAGCATAGGTGGAGTAAGCAGATGTGGGATGATGACTGATGCTTGTTCTGTCTTTCCTGTCAAGATGTTACCCTCTTGGTGATGACAAATTCAAAGTCATTTCTTGGCAGGATGAACCCTTTGTGAGGAGCTGGCAGAAGATTCACAGTCCAACCAACACCCACCAACCATAAACCATAACCCATCCATCAATTAACCCATTACCTACCACTTATCACCTAACTACCAAGTGTGGAGATTGATGTCAGTTTGAGGTGCCATATACCCCAAACTTCCTACAGTGCCAGAACATGCGTGTAGTTCATGGACAGTGCTGCTAATGACTAGTGGGAGCCATTTGCTGTGTGCTTATCCAGTGCTGGGTCCTTTATGGTGAGGTACTCCTCCACCAGTTGATCCAGTTGAGGCAGAGTCACCAAAGACAGTCGAATCATCAGGAGCTGAGGGAAGCATCATAGACGGAAAGAGGATAAGTTCAGTTTGATGCCTTATGTGCTATATTCCTCACAGCTCCCATGTTTCCCAAGGATGAAGTTGTGTCATCTCTAGATCATTCTGGCTGCTTAGGAGTCCTTGCAATCTGGACATTGTATTCTAGAATCCAGCTATTGTAATTTGGCATCTACTTCACTATTTTCTATTTGTACATGTTGTAATGATTACATGCATTCATTTTCATGGCTGACTTAGGTTTCTCTATTTCATTTTTTTTAGTGTTTAGCATTTGTGTGTGTATGAATCTTAACTATATGTGTTAACATGGTTATGATAATGACTTATCATAACCTGGGGGCTTTCTTTAGTAAGTAGTGGGGGTGTCCAACCAAGTGTGCCTAGGAATATTGTATTCATATACTGATATATTTTGTAGTGCCAATACTTGAGTTGCCCTACTCCAGAAATAAGTTGAGCGTATATTGGCCACGGGAAATCCCTTAGACCAATACGAGCCAAACGACTCAACATAATTATTTCTGAGTGCTGTTGGTTCTGAAGGAGAAATCCTTACATCAGGCACGTGACAGGAGTGATATGTGACACTCTGGTGCAACCCAGAATGACCCACATAGCCGCGTTCTGTATGCGCTCTAGTTTGTCCATCTGACTCTTTGAGTCGGTAAGCAGTCCCAGGCCATAATCCACCACTGACAGGATCAGGTGCTGATATAGTTTGAAAAGCATTCTCTGCACTATGTCAATTTCAGCCATAGTCTTAAGTGCACTAAGTCCTTTTTGGCATCTCGTCACAACACTCTCCACATGGTCCTTAAATGACAGGCTCCTGTCAAATGTAATTCCCAGATACTTCAGTTTGCTCTCTCTGTTGACGTCTCTACCATCTATCGTGAGACTTAGGACAATAATTTTAACGATTCTGTTGTCCAGAGAACACCACAAAACAGACGCCTTTTCCGGGTGAACGACAGCCTTCATTTCTGTACACCACTCAGTCACTTTGTCTACTGTCGCTTGTAGCTCCCGAGCTGTTTGTTCCCTCTCTTCCCCCTGCCTATATGCAAGTATATCATCCGCAAAAGTCAGTATCCTTTCAACTCCTGGTGCTTCTAGGCTTGCAATCTTGCTCGTATACACGTTCAAGAGCACACGCGAGATGGCGGATCCCTGTGGCAGTCCTGGGGCAAAAGTGCATGGTCCAGAGGCCCATGAGCCCAGTCGGAGAGCAACCCGACGTGAATACAGGACAGCTGCAACCCAATTCACCAGCCATGGATTGACTTCCTTCTCCCTCAGTGCAGTCATTAAGATGTCGTATCTCACTCTGTTATAAGCATCCTCGAGATCCAGTCCTACCGTCATAGTTTCCTGTCTGTTCTGGAACCCTTCATAGACGTCAAAAGCAAAAGCGGCCGAATTTTCCCAAGTGTCCTTTCCTGGCCTGTAACTTCCCAGACCTCTTGGGAGAAGCTTCCCCATTTCCAAAAATTCTTGTAACTTTACAGCAACTATCTTCTCCAAGACCTTCCCAAATGTGTTTTGTAAGGTGATGATTCTAAAGCCACTAAGCTTAGAATGATCTTTAAACGGTTTTGGTAGTGGTATTAGATAGCTGTGCACCCAGTCTTGCGGTACTGATGCTGTCTTAATACTCTGGTTAA